TACTTAAGCACACGGTGATTCGATAATCGGATTGTCGACGACGGTGGAAAAAAGATTGTATACGTGCCGATACTGTCGGCCGGCAGGAAAATTAAATAAGAAATAACGTCCGTTCTCCGCCGACGTGGTAACTGGTAGTCGTGCGGTGTGCCGCCTTCTCCCCCCCCCGCTACAACCCATCACGGCATCACCAATTTTGAACCAACGACACCAACCCGTCGGGCACCGGTGGGAACGCGCAATGTTGGCACTCTTGACACGTGTCAAACCATTAAACCAACACTGATATACGTGTATCGGAAATCCAGTGTGTTTACAATTTGATTATTTTTCTCTCCACTTTAGTACTTTACGCTGCGTCCGACGAACCCGTGACCCACACGCGCTGCGGTTTAGTGACGGTTTTGTGCATATTTGTTTTTTCGGCGTCACACGTTTGCAGTAACGGCAACCGTCCGTCTTGCACCGGCCACAGTCATATTATTCAACTACAGCTCACACACGTATAGTCCGCTAACAGACGTGTCTACACATATCGCACGCGCGTCTACTACCACCTACCCWCAACGATAAAAAAATGACCGTGGTCAACATTAAAGACAGGGTGAAAAATAACAAGCTGAACTTGAGCGGTCTCAACCTAACAGAGATACCCACCAAGGAAATCGTAAGTGTTAACCTCGCAAATGAGTTCGTCCGGCTAGATGTGTTTAGAGCATCTCGACAATATGCCAACTAGGCATACCTATGTTATATTAAATCTAATTGTTGGTGTCATCTTTTTCTAGGCTCCATTGAAAGTCTCTCATCTGGACTTGTCCAACAACAAAATCACTTCAACAGACGTAAGTGTGCATTGCTATTGATTGTTCTTTGTCAATATTGGTTCATTTTTATGTCATAATTCATACTGTTTTATTACATTTTTCAAATTGAATGATTGCAGAATGTTTTTTCATCGTTGCCCAGTCTGGTAAAGCTTGATCTATCTGGCAATCAGATTAAGAGTGTAGCTGGTGATATTGGTTCGTTACAAAAACTCGCTTACCTATCATTAGCAAACAACAAAATCAAAGATTTACCTAAGGGTTTGAGTAAGCTCAAACAGTTGAAACATTTGAACTTGAGCAACAATCCATTGAAACCAGAACTGGTTGAAGCAATTGGACCATCACAAAACAATGCACAATGCCAATCAGCAGCTGCCAACGCCATACAGTATTTAAAGGGCGATTCCAAAAAGCAAGGTAATTGATTTCAATGTTATACTCTAGTTAGTTTTGAAGACATGTGAATTTGAAAACTTTCATTTTATTTAGATGACAAACAAAATAAAAAGAAAGATAAGAAAAATAGCAAAGCTTCTCCGAATGGTGTACAAAATGATAAGTCAAAAAATAAAACCAAGTCCAAAAAGAAACCAGCTGGTTTTGTATCTAAAGGTATTATTTTATTTTATAATCTATTATCTTCATATACTTATTATAATTTTATTTATTTAGTTTTTGGATTCTTTGGCATGCTGATTTCATACACACTTTTGTTTGCGGTGTTGATTGGTTTGTCTTTGTATGCCTTGTCATACTATGACAAGAAAACATATGGTAATGTCAAAGCTAAGCTTTTGCCTGTTTGGGCATCAGCTACGTCAAATCTAGATCCTAAAGTAGCTTCTAAAGTCAACTATTATCTGCTACAAGCTGGGAATTCTTTTGATCAGGCAGTCCATACCAGTATTGATGCATCTATTAAATCATACAAATGGGTTAAAGCTAATCCAACTGTACAACAGTATTCTAAGAATGTGCAAGACACATGGAAATCATTTTGGGATAGTGTTTTCAAGAAAGTAAAATCTACGTGATCTGTGAGATAGATACAAAAAAACAATGATTACTGATTTTTTTTTTATATTCCATGTATCAATTTTTTGATAAATTTTCTCGAAATCCCTATCTCTCGTCTCCATAACGTCTGCTGTATACAACTAACAATTTATTTGTATGTATGTATTAATTTTTTCATAGAAAATCATTTTTGTCCAACTGAATTACATGTATAATTTTTTTTT